CCTTGGGGTGTATTCATTTTTACAACATGGACTTGAATTAATTTGTTAGCAAAAATATTTTTTTGTGTGAGCAAATGAACAAATCTTGTTTTGTAGTACAGTGTCCCATAGAAAATGTTGGTTCTGAAAGGAATGTAAAGGTTTTCTGACAAATCTGTTGTGGTGTATGCAGTGTGTGTAATTAAAAAAAATACAGTGGTACCTTGACCTACGAGTTTAATTTGTTCCGTGGCCGAGCTCCTAGCTCAATTTGCACGCACATCAAATCAATTTTCCCCATTGAAAATACTTAAAATGCCCTTAATCCATTCCAACCCTCAAAATGCCACCCCATATTTTTAGGTTTCATGTTATTAAATAAGGAAAATACATTTCTAAATAACAAATATTGTATAAAAACATAATAGAGTATGTAAAGATATAATAAGGTTTTATACAGTGTACTTACCTTGGAAATGAGACGACTTTAGCTAACGAAGACGCTGGCGGAGGAGGATGAAAGACTCGTTTTTTGCCATCACTACTGTACACTATGTATCCCTAAACTTAATTGCTACTTCACAATTGTTTTTTTTCTTTATTTTTATTTTTCTTAGAACGAGGGAGTGTGTTGGAGGCTGGGGGATGCTGTGGCGTCACTGCTCATTACGCCATCTAGCAGCGGCAGCTCGAGCTCGTACCTCAATTTTTTGCTCACGGAACAAAGCAAAAATTGACCGAGTGACGACTCGTACCTCAGAAAACTTGTACATTAATTCACTCGTAGTTCAAGGTTCAAGTATACCACTGTATTACATATATATATATATATATATAATATATTATGCACACACACGTATATGTATCACACTCATTGAAGTTGCCAGCATAACCAAATGTTAGATGGAGAAGCCCCGTCTCTCTGAGGGTCTCAGATTTCTCACATGTGGGTACAGCTACTGGACCCAGCCCTTTGTGAGGGAGGGGGGCATGGAAAGCCTTAAAAGATGCTTATACTAAGAGACTTTTTACGGAGACTTACACAAGAAAACTAGCTGAGCAGATATCTGCCCACAGCTACACACACGATTATATACACTTATTTTCATCACAAGAACATAACTACATTTTTTACATTATAATACATTCTGTATTCTAATATTTTACTTGCAATTTTATTACTAAATCCATTTCGTGTTTTTGCACAAGAACTGGGAAGACATTCTATTTTGAACTTTTCTCACCATTATATGGATTACAGAACATTATAAAAATATCATAAGAACTCAGATTCTTCAATAAAGAAGAACTATGAATACAGAATTAAAGTGTAACTATAGACAAAAGATTTTTTAGTTTTGGATAAGGTGGAGACAGATAAGAACCCCTGTCAGAGTTTTACTGCTGTCTGTGTTTCCCGTTACAGAGATTCACCCTCTATATTTGTCCTGTTTACCATTATCATTAAAAGTGAAAATGAAAGAAAATCCCAAATCCTGGGTTGTCACCAGAACAAGAACAGAGAAGAAGTCTTCCAGTGGGGAAACTAGTTCCAGTTACCCTGGTAACAACTAGGGATTCCCTCACTTTGGAGGGATTTCTTTTCACTTCCTGTTTTAGCTATGTGACAGGAAGTGGAATAAAATCTCTCCGTGGGACACAAATAACATTACAGGGTTTATAATCCTCCTTTACTCTATCCAAAATGAAAAACAAACATGTCTTTATTGCTACTTTAATCATGTTAAACATTACTCTACAGCCCCTTTCCAAACATTACAAATTAGGAGAGTAAGTAAGGATTTTTAAGCAAGTACAATGACTGGTTACCTTTTTAAGTTATGCTATGTTAATGGAACATGCAACAGAAAAAAAAGTAGACACCCCAATTTTGCTACAAAAAGTGAAAATATAGTTGAAAAAGGAGTAAAAAAAAACCAACCTTGTGATTTCAGAAATAAGAGTTTTTCTTGCAGCTGGCTGTGAGGAGCTATAGGTAAGAAACAAGAGAATTATTGCTTTGTCCAAAATTTTGTTTTACTAAAATTAAATCATTGTAGATATAAGGTTCCTTTCACACAAAGGATCCAATCAGGTCCACCTGTCAGTTTTTAAGGTGGGCCTGATCGCACCCTCCTTTCACCCCTATAGACCAGAGGGTTTAAACAGACTTGTGTCGTTTACTCCTGCCTACCTCCAATCCAATCCACTAAAAAAGTGTGGGGGGGTTCCATCTAGGAAGATCAGACGAGTGGGCAGTTAAGTGTATACAAACAACAGAGTCTGTTTACACCCAAACGCCCATAGAGCAGAGTGGGTTCTGTGCACGTCCGCTCTGCAGAAACTGAGTGGATGCAGACCAGCCATTCTCCTGCTCTGATCAGCAAACAGATCCCCTGCTGCTCTAAATGGCCCCATGTGAAAGGGGCCTAAGAGTGACATTTAAATACAGCAGCTTTCCTTTCTCAGCAAAACATTTTAAACCCTAGCTATAGTGAAAAAAATGTATAACTATAACAAAAATGGGCACAAATTTGGACCGCACTGTAACCCACTTTAAAACTTTTTAAGTATGAACCATTCTAGTAACTTAAAAGGCACAGTTAAGATGAGATTTACTCCCATTGCTTGCAGTTCTGGATTAAACTATGTGGTGGCCCCTAGGCAGTAAAAACCTTGGGCCCCCCTTGCAGGTTCTGGAGGTTTCTTGTGCGCTTGTTCTAGTGGGATAGCATTCAACTAAGTACTTTGCAGGTCGGCCGCTAGATGGAGATGACCATCACTACTGTACATTACACATACATACAGTAGGCTGCACCAAAATCTTCTACAAGCTGAGAGCTGACAGAAGATGAGATTTTAAGAGACAAACTGTAATGTGACCCTGATGTCTATGGTTTATGTACTAAGTTATTAGGTACATTACATTATTACAGTATTTCCTCTATAGATTCTTTAACCACCTCATTAACTGACACTTTCACCCCCCTTCCTGCCCAGGTCAATTTTCATCTTTTCAGCACTGTCACAATTGGAACGACAATTACTCATGCAACACTGTACCCAAATTCAATTTTTATAATTTTTTAAAGACAAATAGAGCGATTATCATTGCATTTTTTTTTATTTGTGCTAAACAAATGAAAAAAAGACTGGAATTATGAAAAAAATTAATTTTTCTTAGTTTCTGTTAAAAAATTTTGCAAACAAATAACCTTACTTCATAAAATGAGTCCTTAGTAAGAAGCATGGTGAATTTTTTTTGGAACATGAAAACAATTTATAACTTTTTTTTTCTTTCTTTTCACAAAATTGTCATTTTAATAAGTTATTTAAAAAAAAACAGCATAGACATACTTGCAATTATACCCCAAAACACATTCTGCTACTCCTCACCAAGTATGGGGATCATCCCCAAAATGACCAAATATTGGAAAGCAAATACTCCAATGTATTTTCTATGAGGCATAATGAGTCTTTTGCCACAAGTTTTTGGAACATTTTGGAAAGAAAATGAAAACATATATTTTTTTGGTTTGGACAATTGTCAATTTCCAAGATTTATCTAACAAACAGCTTAGGCATCCTTAGAATTACACCTCCAAACACATTCTATTACTCCTGCTGGGTATGGCGATACCCTATGTGGTAATTTTTTTGTTGCGGACATGACACGCCATTACTAGTACCTGGCCTATCATCTGGGTGTACCACGATGCTGGCGTTCGCCACTTCACCAGGATGTACAGCGCCGCTGGTGGTTGCCTACTCCTCCTTAGATCACCTGAATCTCTTTACTGGAAACCCCTTCCTCCTCTGAATCAGTTACTGACCCACTGACAACAAAAGATGTTAATGTTGCACTGGGACACTATTGCAGATAATGTTGGTGCACTGGGACACCAACAGATGTTGATGTGCACTGGGACACTATTGCAGAAGTTCTGCACTGGGACACAGTGACAGATGTTGATGGTCTACTGGGACATCCACAGGTGTTGATATGCACTGGAACACTGCAATAGATGTTGCACTGGGACACTATTGCAGATGTTCTGAACTGGGACGATGACAGATGATGATGGTCCACAAGAGACACCGGCAAATGTTGACAGTACCCTGGGATACTGACAGATGTTGACGGTCCACTAGAGACACTGACAGATGTTCATGTTGCAATGGGACACTATTGTAGATGTTGTGCAGTGGCACACTAACAGATGTTGATGTGCACTGGTACACTGACAGATGTTGATAGGACACTGGTACAGATGTTGATGTGCACTGGAACACTGCAATAAATGTTGCACTGGGACACTATTGCAGATGTTCTGAACTGGGACGATGACAGATGATGATGGTCCACAAGGGACACTGACAGATGTTGACAATACCCTGGGATACCGACAGATATTGACGGTCCACTAGAGATACTGACAGATGTTGACGTTGCAATGGGACACTATTGCAGATGTTGTGCAGTGGCACACTGGCAGATGTTGATGTGCACTTGGACACTGTAACAGATGGTGCTTGGTGCACAAGTGACAGATGGCTGCATTGTGTGGGATCTGTAACTGCACAATAAAATCAGCAGTTACACACAGTTCCGTGACAGGCTGCAGGGATTGGCACTCCTTCTCCCCACTGCACACTCTGTGTGAAAGAGCTGATGAACAGCCAAATTATTTACATTTGTAGTGGCTGTGATTGGAGCCATGACATAACTCCAAGGGCCAATCAGAGTACAGATCTCCCGATCCTTGTGGCTCTGTGTCCAAGGGACGTTTACGGGCACATTCTCCCAGATCGGCGCTTGTCCCACCCACCCGTTTATGTGCAGTGGCAGTTAATTTGTAAGAACAAAATCAATATTACTTTGATCCGTTGTCCTGGGCCATTAAACGCAGTGGGGCCCCTAGGTCGGTGCTACTCTGCCCATTTGGTAATCCAGCACTGATTACTTGTATGAATTCTAACCCTAAACACGCATGATCAATTAATATATGCATTTTAGGAGCCTACTTTGAGTCTATCTCTTGAATCATAGGTTTGGATGATGTTCTTATATTTTGATCGAATAAGGATCCCATGAACTTCCGATTTCTCAGCATACGCCATTCTGTAAGAGAGAGGGAGGGGGTTTTTATTTTTATATTTTAAGAGCACACTTCACAAGAATCAATAGATCACTTGGTATTATTATTAAACAACATTATTTTAAAGAAAAAGAAACATTGTTTTCCTGAAGAAAAATAAAATAAACTAAGGCCACAGTTTTGTACATATATAATCACAAGTTATACAGAGAAACATAGGTTTTAAAACACAGATCGTAATATTTACATTAAGCTATATATCTTCTTGCAGTGGCCTCAAATGTGAACCATTCATTCAAATTGTTCATGTGAATATATTAAACTGTTGGTTAGGTGCTGACTTTGGCCCTACATTCAGTGATGATACAACTGGGTTGATCTCCAATAGGGGCAAACACAACCCTTTGTACAGATGTATGCTTCCTTACGCATGTGTGAACAAATCCCAACTTTCGCACCGCTGTCAGTTCCCCCAAGTTCTGTATGCACTCTTTCCATTCCCACTTTTGGGGTGTGGGAGGGTCGGGAGGTGTTTGTGTGAAGTTTTTATTTATCTTGTTTTTATAATTTTTTTTGACTCTATTGAATTTATGGGAACTATTTATTGAAAAAAAAAATTACTTGCTCACATTATTTTCTACATGGAAAACTGCTGTAGTCTTTATTTCTAGTATTCTTCCAGGACAGGAAATGAGACAAAGACAACTCCCTACAGTACAGTGAACACGTTGTGAAAAAATTATTTTTGCAGCACTGGTCAGTGATAAAAGAGAATAAAAAAAGACGAATATCCAGGAAAAGAAGCTTACACGTACAAAAAAAAAAGGAAAAAAGACAACTCTGCTGTCTGAAAGACAACTCTCAAAGTGTTAGTGGTAAACTAAACGCTCATTTTTCCTCAGTCATCTTCAGGGAAAGAACATAAGTGAATAAACAAGTTACTAGACTAGAGAGAGACCATGGACAGAACGACTTTCTTCCTAATTAAAAGCTGGCAGAAAATGCAATTTGGGCTGGTTCACACTATGCGGTTTAAATTTAGGCTAAAATGTATTCTGCTACATGTCTTTGGCAAAACAAAATCTCAATTCATGTAAATTAAGTGGTTTATGTGAAAGGTATAGTGTTTACAAAATGATGGTATATACACTGGGTTTGTTTTTTAATTTTTACTAGTAATGGTGGCGATCAGCGACTTATAGCGGGATTGCAGTGGGCATTCTGACACTGGGAGTAAATGACTTGTTATCACTGACATCCCCAGTGAAACCAATACAGTGATCAGTGCTAAAAAAAAAAAAAAAAAAAAAAAAAAAAAAGCACTGACAATGTACTAATGGCACTGGGCAGGAAGTGGTTAACGTGAGGGGCGATCAAAGAGTTAACTGTGTGCTGTGTCCGTGTGCTTCACTGTAAGCACACTGCTTTGCCTGGCTGTGTTTTGCACATTCATCCAAAGCAGTGTGCACGAGCTGACGGAGGAGAACCGTTTTGTTTACAAACAGTTCTCCTCCCTGTCGAAGATGCTCAGCAATCACCGGGCGCCAGGACCCGGTTATTGACAGTCGCAGCTGCGAATTACGATGCGCACACCCCCTACCCAGAAATGCAAAATCACGTATATATACACACATGATTTTGCGAACCCATGCCGCCCTGTAGCAGTATTTCTGCTATAGGGTGGTCGGGAAGCGGTTAAACAAACAAGCAAAATGATCCTCTGACCATAGTTCTTTTGCATGTATATCCTATGCAAGAAGGAAGCACAACAACTGACCAGTGCACGAAAAACTATTTGTCTCTGAGAGGCAGCTGGGAGGACTATGTTCTAATACTATTGCTTATTTTCAGAAGATTCATACAATTGCATTCATTTGAGTTATTGGCTAACTCCATCTTTCTGACCATGTTTCTTGTCATACCCATATTTAGGAGCATTTCATTTCAGAATATCTACTGAAGAGAGAAATGGAGGGATAGGTATGAGAGTCCCAGGTTCCAAACAGCCCTTGGTTGTTACTACTTTATTAAAAAAATGATCAGTCACAGACCAAGAACAGAAGCTGCAAAGAACTTATATGCGCAAGGACACTGATTTCCAATATAAAAAGCCCGTGGTGATGATCCAAACATATACAAACATTTCCAAGGAAGCTCCTGTTTAAAACAAAATCCTTCTGGTAGAAGTAACAACTGAAATAGGGTGATCAGAGCTAGCTTCCTCATTATGCTGTTCCTTTAAATCCTTTACTTTCGCCAACAATTTTGCTGGTTTTGAGCTTGTTTTATTTTTATTACAAAATTATGCATTCTAGATAAAGGTGAGGACAGATCACAAATAGGTGGTATAGGACATAAGACAAGAGTTCAATGTATTACCTCTTGAAAGCTCTACTGCATATTTGTTTTCTAAACCTTCCATTGCCACTGTGATGAAGAATTCCCTGAAAAGTTCATTATTCTGAAAAGAAGAGAGGAAAAGACACACAGGACATCCGTTTATTTCCAATATTAATCCAGTGATGATCAGAGTTGGTTACAAATACTGAAGTTGTAGAATACCTTAATCTTTTCAAAGAAAGAACTGTTTATCACAATGTCATAGGCTGTGCAACCACTTCCACCTGTAATTTAAAAAAAAAAAAGAAAAAAGAAGAATACTTCAAGCACTTTTAATTACAGCTTTTTCTCAGCTTATTCAAGTAACTCAACTATAACTACCTCAGTACTGGACACTTTTACCTCCTTCCTGCCCAGGCCAATTTTCAGCTTTCAGCACTGTCACAATTTGAATGACAGTTATTCAGTCATGTAACAGTGTACCCAAAAGAAATTTGTACCATTTTTTTGAGACCTAGTTTTCTTTTAGTTGTCTTTAATCACCACTGGGTTTTTTTTTTTTATTCTTTGCTATATACATGAAAAAATACTGAAACATTTGAAAAACAAAAACAAAAAACATGTTTTCTTAGTTTCTGTTAGAATATTTGCAAATAAATAATCCTTTTCCATATATTTAGGGTGAAATGCATTCTACTACATTTCTTTGGCAAAAATATATAGCATCTACAAATTATGGTATATATATTTTGAAAACTGATCAAGCCTTATGTACAGATGGCATCAGAATATAATTTCTTGAGACCCTAAAATGCCAAGACCGTACAAATACCCCACAAAATGACCGCTTTTTCGAGAGACACCCGAAAAGGATTTAGTAAGAACCACAGTGAGTTTTTTAAAGTTGTATATTGTATTTCACAATTTTTTTTGAAAAATGAAGAAAATCATTTTTTTCACAGTTTTTTTTTTTTTTCAGAAACTGTTACCATATCAGTCATCATGTGACTAGTGTTGCAGTGATCAGGGATACTAACTGGTGACAGTACGTTAAAAAAAAAAAAAAAATGAATTCATAGTCATTAATTGGATTACTATTGTGATCACAATAGACATTGAGTACTATTGTGACCAATAACAGTGATCATCAGTACACAATGAATGGCTATGAATGAAAGCCATTCATTGTGTACAACTGTCACATGATTGCTGTGATTGGTCACAGTGATCACATGGTACTGGGGCTGGCCTGGTACAATGATCTGTCATCTGCTGTGTCCACCAGGAGGCAGATCATGCTTCAGTGCAGCCCCTAGGGTGAGCACGAGGTGAGTGAATGGGAGGGATGTCATATGATGACCAAAAGGAACAAGATTGCTCCCGCTTAGCCATCATTTGGCTATAGGCTGGCCAGGACGCAGTTAAACAGCTTACCACTCTCCAGAGCATATAGTCCTTAAAAGTTCACATGTAAAAGTTAAGCAAAGAGAGTTTCCAAGTTGTATATATGCTGTCAGGGAGTGCTAACTAAAGGTTACATTTAGGAGCATGTTACATACATAGGTGTGGCAAAATCAGGAGGCCCTAACCTGGCAGACTTCTAAAGCTCCAATTCATCAAACAATCCATAGCACAAGCTTGCCTATCTGACTCCTCTGTGATAAAAGCAGAAAAAAAATAGGCTCCATATGACCTTTTTTAATTAAAAACAAACAATGAGACTGACAGACAAAATGTCCAAATTCCGCTGGGTTTTGGACCCCTGGGTTATACACTTTATGCCAGCAGATTTCAACCCTGAGCTACTTGACCTGCGATGTCTGCTTTTGCCTTGGAGGATTACACAAAGTGTGGGGTCCCCCTCCCCTTATAAACAGAATGCAATGATCTGCAAATCTCGCAAACCTACAGGGCCTTGATAAAGTATTCATACCCCTTTAAATTTTCCATATTTTGTCATGTTACAACCAAAAACATAAATGTATTTTATGTGCTAGACCAACAAAAAGTAGCACATAATTGTGAAGTGGAAGGACAGTGATAAATTGTTTTCAACATTTTTGACAAATCCGTGAAAAGTGTGGCATGCATTTGTATTCAGCCCGCCGGAGTCAATACTTTGTAGAACCACCTTTCGCTGCAATTACAGCTTCAAGTCTTTTTGGGGATGTCTCTACCAGGTTTGCACATCTAGAGAGGGACATTTTTGCCCATTCTTCTTTGCAAAATAGCTCAAGCTCTATCAGATTGGATGGAGAGCATCTGTGAACAGCAACGTACCATTTTAAGAAAAAATTAAGATAATTTTGAAATTGATGGCAGCAACGCATCTTAAAAGTTGGAACAGAGCCATGTTTACCACAGTGTACCATTCTATCTTCTTTTAACACTACTCTATAAACTGAGACCAGTTGCTGTAGTTTTGGGAGAGGAATGTTGTGCCATTTTTTCCTGATATAGGATCCTAACTGCTTCACAGTCCTGGGTCTTCTTGTTTTATTTTTAATTTCAAGGTGCTCCAAATATATTAAATTGGTGAAAGATATAAACTGCATGCAGGCCAGTTAAACACCCAGTAATTTTCAAAATAAGTGAGCGCTTAAAACAACTAGTATAAAATCACTAAAAATAAAATAAAAGAAGAAGAAAACAGCAGCTGAACACCAAAGAGGTACCATATGAACCTTCTCAATAAAAATGCATACAAGGGAGAGGTGCAGCGCTAACTAAATGAATAAATATACTTATATACTTGATAAATATAAATAAATATAAATCAGTAAAAAAGTGCTATTAAAGTGCAAAACGGTGACTAAATGATGAATATAGTCCATATCGTGCTCAGAATCCAAGAGGGTCCTTTAAGAGCTCCAATCCCTGGATTCGTGGATAAGGTGATAAAAGTAAAAATTGCGCACTCACCAAATGCGCAATTCAAATGCGCATTCAAAGCTGATATTCCAAGGTCCTCATATGGATCTGGTCAGATCTGGTCATGGAAAGCCCTCTGCCACCTGGTAGTGTATTCCACACATAGAAGAAAAGGCCGCTCTGCAGATGTAAAGGACTCACTCCACCAGAGCCCAAAGAACAAAGGAGGCCAAATAGTGTGATACCTTATAGGCAAGGGTATTTATTCCCAAAAAACACACAATATAGTATACAGGCAGAGGCAGGAAGGATACTGACCATGCAATGGATATGTAAGTAATGGATGGCCGCCGGGGCCCTCGTGGCGCCGGTCGGCGTGACGTCACACCGCTTGTAGCCGCTCCCTGACGCGTTTCGTGCGAAGGCACGTAGTCATAGGGGGTAAGCTAACCCCCTATGACTACGTGCCTTCGCACGAAACGCGTCAGGGAGCGGCTACAAGCGGTGTGACGTCACGCCGACCGGCGCCACGAGGGCCCCGGCGGCCATCCATTACTTACATATCCATTGCATGGTCAGTATCCTTCCTGCCTCTGCCTGTATACTATATTGTGTGTGTTTTTTTTTGGGAATAAATACCCCTTGCCTATAAGGTATCACACTATTTGGCCTCCTTTGTTCTTTGGGCTCTGGTGGGAGTCCTTTACATCTGCAGAGCGGCCTTTTCTTCTATGTGTGGAATACACTACCAGGTGGCAGAGGGCTTTCCATGACCAGATCTGACCAGATCCATATGAGGACCTTGGAATATCAGCTTTGAATGCGCATTTGAATTGCGCATTTGGTGAGTGCGCAATTTTTACTTTTATCACCTCATCCACGAATCCAGGGATGGAGCTCTTAAAGGACCCTCTTGGATTCTGAGCACGATATGGACTATATTCATCATTTAGTCACCGTTTTGCACTTTAATAGCACTTTTTACTGATTTATATTTATTTATATTTATCAAGTATATAAGTATATTTTATTCATTTAGTTAGCGCTGCACCTCTCCCTTGTATGCAGTTAAACACCCAGACTCTTCTACTACGAAGTCATGCTGTTGTTATAGATGCAGTATGCGGTTTAGCATTGTCCTGCTGAAATATGCAAGGCCTTACCTGAGAAAGACACTGTCTGGATAGGAGCATATGCTGCTCCAAAACCTGGATATATCTTTCAGCATTGATGGTGCCTTTCCTGCTGTGCAAGCCATTCTATATGCACTAATGCATCCCATATCATCAGAGATGCAGGCTTTTGAACTGAGCACTGGTAACAAGTTGGAAGGTCCCTCTTTAGTCCAGAGGACGTTGCACTGATGGTTGCGAAAAGAATGTAAAATTTTGATTAATCTGACCACAGAACAGTTTTCTACTTTGCAACAGAGCATTTTAAATGAGCTTGGGCCCACAGAAGAGTAGCTCATGTTCAGGTATGGCTTCCTCTTTACACAACAGAGCTCTAACTTTTTTTGGAACGCATGGTGAACTGTATTTTTGGCAGTGAAATCCATCACAGATTCATGCCTGCTTTTAATGCAGTGCTATCTGAGGGCCCAAAGATCACGGGCATCCAATATTGAGTTTTGGACTTGTCCCTTGCGCACAGAGATTTCTCCAGATTCTCTTTTGATGATATTATGTACTGTAGATGACAATATATTTTAAAAGCTTTGCAATTTTATGTTGAGGAAGATTATTCTGAAATTGATAGACAATTTTTAGATGCAGCTTTTCACACACTGGCTAACCTCTGCCCATCTTTATTTCTGAGACACTGACTCTCTAAGATGCTCTTTTTAAATCCAGTCATGTTACTGACCTGTTGCCAATGAACCTAATTAGTTGTAAAATGTTCTTCCAGCTCTTCCTATTTAGTACATCTACAGTACAGCATTTTGTTGCACTGTTCCAACTTTTTTGAGATGTGTTGTTGCCAACAATTTCAAAATTACCTTATTTTTTTTTTCGTAAAATTTTTAATTTTCTCAGTTTAAACATTTACACTTGCAAGAAAAAGTATGTGAACCCCTTGGGATTACGTGGAGTTTTGCATGAATTGGGCATAAAATGTGCTCTGAACGTCATCTAAGTCACAACAATAAAAAGAACACAGTCTGCTGAACATAATACTACACAAACATTAGATGTTGCCATGGTTTAATTGTAAATAACATGTAAACATTCACAGTGCAGGGAAGAAAAAGTATGTGAACCTTTGGACTTAATAACTGGTTGACCCTCCTTGGCAGCAATAACCTCAACCAAACGTTTCCTGTATTTGCAGATCAGACCTGCATAACGATCTGGAGTCATTTTGGGCCACTCCTCTTCACAAAACTGTTTCAGTGTAGCAATATTCTTGGGATGTCTGATGTGAATCGCTCTCTTAAGGTCATGTCACAGCATTTCAATCGAGTTGAGGTCAGGACTCTGACTGGGCCACTCCAGAAGGCGTATTCTGTGCTGTTGCAGCCATTGTTTTGTTGAATTACTTGTATGCTTTGAGTCATTGTCCTGTTGCATCACCCATCCTCTGCGGAGCTTCAGTTGGCGGACAGATGGTCATACGTTTTCCTGCAAAATGTCTTGATAAACTCTGGAATTCATTTTTCCATCAATGACATCAATCCGTTCAGGCCCTGAGGCAGCAAAGCAGCCCCAAACCATGATGCTCCCTCCGCCATGTTTTACAGTGGGGATGAGGCTTTTGATGTTGGTGTGCTGTGCCTTTTTTTCTCCACACATAGTGTTGTGTGTTCTTCCCAAACAACTCAGTCTTGGTTTCATCTGTCCACAGTATATTTTGCCAGTAGTGCTGTGGAACATCCAGGTGCTCTTTTGCAAACTTCAAACGTGCTGCAATATTCTTTTTGGACAGCAATGGCTTCCTCCGTGGTGTCCTCCCATGTACTCCATTCTTGTTTAATGTTTTCCTTATTGTAGATGTGTCAACAAAAATGTTAGCATGTGCCAGAGATTTCTGTAGGTCTTTAGCTGACACTCTGGGATTCTACTTTACCTCATGCAGCATTCTGCGCTGTGCTCTTGCAGTCATTTTTACAGGACGACCACGCCTAGGGAGAGTAGCAACAGTGCTAAACTTTCTCCATTTGTAGACAGTCTGTCTTACCGTGGACACATGAACATCAAGGCTTTTGGAGATACTTTTGTAACCCTTTCCAGCTTCATGCAAGTCAACAATTCTTGATCGTAGGTCTTCTGAGAGCTCTTTTCTGCGAGGCATGGTTCACATCAGACAGTGCTTCTTGAAACCAGTAAACCCAAAACAGGTGTGTGTTTTTTTAAGGGCAGGACAGCTGTCAGCAACACATCCAATATCATCACACTGATTGGAGTCAAGGTTGGCTCACTCCTGGCTCCAATTAGCTCTGGGAGAAGTCATTAAGCTAGGGCCTCACATACTTTTTCCTCCCTGCACTGTGAATGTTTACATGTTATGTGCAATTAAACCATGGCAACATCTAATGTTTGTGTAGTATTATGTTCAGTAGACTGTGTTCTGCTATTGTTGTGACTTAGATGACATTCAGAGCACATTTTATGCCCAATTCATGCAAAACTCCACGTAATCCCAAGGGGTTCACATACTTTTTCTTGCAACTGTATGTTTTCTATTGTGAATAAAATATGGATTCATGAGATTTGCAAATCATTATTGTTTATATGTAGATTGTACACGGCACCCTAACTTTTTTGAATTTGGGGTTGTATATTATAATTGATTAGCTGATATTTAAAGGTATATCAATGACACCTGGTGTCCTCTTTACAGCAAGTCATTCATATGACTTTGTGAACTCCTGTTTGAATTGCTACGACAATGCACCCAGTTTCATCTGTTGTATTATGCTCTAATAAAAATTATTGGAAAAAAATAAAGTATTATAATTTGCTATTGTTTGTCTCAGGCTGCACTTCTTATACCTGCAAAGATAATGTCGGCAAAATCCCAAATTACAGCTCAAGGTACCAGTGGCACAAAGACTGTTAGAAGCTTTCCTTAACCTAATATCTACATATTACCAGTACTAACATATGTATGAATGAGTTGGATCTTAATAGAATAGTTGAGTTATTATATCTCTATTTGTTCTAGATTAGGAAAAGTAAGAAAAGTAAGATAAATTTTTTTATAGACCTCTTATATATCTATCTATGTATAATATATATATATATATATATATATATATATATATATATATATATATATATATATATATGGGCTTGTTCTTTACATTCAAGCAACATATGGAAGTAATTAGTCTAGCTATTCCTCCCCCATCTCTGTAAGAATAAAGTTTCACTATTTCTATTTCATACATGTTAAGCTTACAAGATTTACACTGTAATATTTCTTGATTACGATATTTATATATGATTTAACTCTTATATTAAGATTACTTTTAGGGGTGTGTGTGTTATACATTTAATTTACCCTGATTGATGGAATGTCAGTGAAGCTTTGTCTAGACATTCTAAAGTTACACTCAGACTCTGTTGCCAATTATCTTTGTAGAACTACAAGGGACAGAGGAGTAGACCAGCCCATTTTAGGAAAGGTGGGGGCCGATTTGCTCCTAAAAAAGCTGAACAAAGACTTCTTTAGAAGCCTACATTGGACATACACACACAGATTCATATCAATATACATACAATATCTTAAGAACTTAACTATATTTTTTGGACATTATCTAAACATTTTGTATTCTAATATTTTATTTCTAATTTTTATGCAATGCAAAAAGTTTCTATTTTGGAACAAGTTAAAAAATATCGAGATAATACGGTATTTTACAACGACAGTAATGTCGGGAAGGATCCCGTTGGCAGAATCAACATTTCAGGTGCATACATGACAAATTACAAGAAACAAGGTCTCTATAATAAAAATATCTTACTATTGTCTACTTCAACATGGGGTTCTCCAATGCTCATAGGGACACGATAACCCAGAGGGATCATCTGATTCCAAGATAGTGACAAGTTCCTGCTCACTGAGGTCTGGGGGAGCTGGGATTTGACTGCACTTACAGATGTTAATAAAGGTCTTTTCGTTTTTTTGATGTTTGAGTTTTTATGCAAAAACCTGATTAAGAGAAAAAAAATGAACACCACAAAAGATGGAAGAATACAAATATTTACATTAAAAAAACAGTATAAGTAGGATAAACAACACAGGTTTTAAATGAAGTTCAAGGGGAGTTTGTATAAGCAATTACCCCAAGCACTGAAAAGACATGTAAATTACGTTCTGATGTGCTATAGTAGCCACCCTCATACCAAAAAAGCAACACTTACCAGGCTGGGGCCGGATTTGTTTTGATGCCTGTGGGATTGGTAGCCTATTCTGTATTTCCTGCTTTGCCTGCGAGAAAAGGTATTGTGAAAAAAACAAAATGTAGTAAACAAGTATGTGCACAGCAAAAGCAGTTAAAAGGGATTCCTCCCACATATTAGGATACTAAAAATACACATGAACTTTACAGGATAATTTGGAAATTTCCTTTCTTCTTTCCTTTCCTCCAGTTGACTAAAGCTGGCTACAGACATTTGAGTCAGACATACTGGCACACTTCATCTTCAGATGTCTTCTGGCCCACACATAAATGTTGGTGTTTCACAGAAAAGACTTGGTTTCAAACTGCGCACCATCTTGGCACTGGCTGACTGCAGGGGCAATAGCACCCTGGTAAGGTTTTGTATCCTGCCTATATACGTTCTCCAGTAAAGTTGGTACTACCCATAGCAGGGAATGTCACCTACTTTGCTCCAAATTGTCAAAAGTGAGTAACAATCATCTTGCGCCTAATCTGTGACCTTATAATTACACATTTATCTAAAGTCAACTTTTCTTTCAATTTTGGATGCAATCGCGAATTAGAACTCCTGATGTCTTTTTTTTTTATGTCTGTGTCCTCCCTGGGGAGACTCCCACCTCCCTTTTACCACTGGAACTGAAAGTGATGGGAATTCCAACATTTTCAGTTGTCTCCAATAAAGAAACAGAGAGAACATTTTCCACTGGTACATTTATTCTGTTAGCAATTCTTTAAGAGAGGAATTCCTTCAAGACACGAAGTGAAGGGAAATTTCCATAGCAGGAAACAGACAGCAAAAAAAAAAAAAAAACTAACAAGTGTTTTAATCCTTTCCTACACTATTCAAAACAGTCTATGCATTGGCTATTCATAAACTTACACTTTAACAGGTATCAAAAGATTGTCTACCTGCACTAAGTCTTCGGCTGATCATATGTACAGTAATTTGCAGACAGGTTCAACCACTTTCATCCAGCTTGTGATTGAAAAAAACAAAAAACAAAACACCAACAGTTTTGATTATTTCATTGTTTTGACTGGAACTGTTGATTGTAATTTGCAATGCTCTGTTCAGTCTTAATAAAGACATCAGCTAGTTGTCTGTTTCTATGTCACCCCACGTGGAGAGATCCACCTATCCTAGGTCATTCACCATATTTTTTTACAATAGCAGCAGATCAACAAATGCTGGGTGAACATGACATTAAGCTGCTAGCTCAAAGACTTAATTTACATCAGGACTAGGAGGCATGGAGAGGAACAAAAAGGTACAATCGGTGGGGGGGGGGGGGGGGGAAATTCATAAAGGATGACACCCTTTAGAATTCTGTCAGGGCACAGCACCGAAAATGTTGATGCTCGCGCCCAATTCATGTACCTGTCTGTGTCAATGTTTGTACCGGGAAGTGGTGTCCACACTGCATACTCCTTCCCCAGTGCTCTTCTGCCCTCCCTCCCCAGCCACTGCGTCCATCACATTGACAGGCATATGACCGAGGATTTGTAGACTTGGCGTGGGCAGAGCCTAATGGGGAACTAAGAGACACATCAGGTCCGATCCACTTTTCAGTGACAGCGCTCGGGACTGGGCAGATCCACAGCTGCTACTCATTCCAATAGCAGCTTTCAAATTTGCCCACTGTCACACAAAAGTGGAGTGGACCTGGTGGGGAACTAGTCACTCAGTTCCCCATCAGACCCCACCCACCCAGTGAAAAGGCATTGCCCATACTTTGGTTAATGACACCAGTTGTATCTCTGGCGTTCAGCTAGGGAATCTCCCAGCCATCAGCCAAATGAGGCAGAGGATGTAACCCTCTGTGGGAAGCGGGCACGTGCATGATAGCTACCCAGCACAGGCTGTGCATACTGGCATACTTACTGTTAGCCTGTTCAGAGTTAGCCTGACTGCATTTCATTAAGAATTTGTCACTGCCATAACGATAGTTTCCTAAAATGGCAGTCGTAAGGATTACCTGTATTTCCTGCACGTGTCAGTAAAATTACTGACACTGATGCAAGTGCTTGCCTTAATAAGGCGCAGGTAGTTTTTGAGAGAATTACCAGCAGAAAAGGGGCGTAAGAGCAATTCTGATTTCCCCTTATCATTTCTAGAAATGTTCTCACAAGTATTCCTATTTATTAAGTGAAAGTACATTTAATATCTAGCAGAGTTATTTTTTTTAGTTACTATAACTGTAGCCAGCAAACAAATATAATGTACCATGTTACCCAGGAATAGAGGTAGTAATAGAGTCCTTTCTGTAGCTAGCTAAAAGTTTGGGAGCTTTGAGACCCACTTTATCTGTCATAATACCTAAAAAAGTGCATTTATAGCACCGAAAAAACTTTTGTTTATATTTAAGTTATCCACTAAAAATGTAACCTTTGTTGCCTTCTTTATCTTTGTAGTCACCATAAAGAAATCACAGTCAGTGGCAAAATATACCAAATATGACATTATGCTGCAGAATCCTGACACTGCATGTTGTACTGTACTATGCAGACAGACATACCTTCAGCAGCATGTGTTCATAGAGAGCTTCCTCCATCTCTGCATTCAGTTCTGCAGACAGCAGGGATTTGTCCAGTTCCATCTTTCACCTGTAACCAAAATATAGCTAGATGAAAGTAAAAGCCTAAATCCACCAGAAGGCTCAGAAGTATTGTTCTTTGGAAAACCGTTTACTGGGCAGGGTTAGGAGAAATAGCACAATTTCATCCTGGAATCATCTTAACCATCCTTTACCATATTGTCCATTGTACCATATTGTCCAGTTACATTCCATACAATCCTTCTCCTCTTATGGCTAGTGCAATGCTTTTCTCTGAAAACACTACCAATAACCTTGGTGCATTAGCTTTCAAATGTACAAAAGTCTACTGTCCTTTTATTTTCACGAAGAACATTTAAGATTTTGCAGGTTTTTGCCCTGCTATGCGTCAGTTTCACGGAAGTGACAGAGTTTTCACACGAGGAACTACAAATGCTCCACAAGTATTCAGAAAAGGAATTCTGACTTCTCCTGACTCATTGGCTGCATTCTTGGTCCAGGTCTCAGAAGTATTTAATCCTGTGGAAACCAGACAACTGTAAAATTTTGCAAAAGCATTGGACACAGTTCCCCACACACTGGTATTGTGTAAGGTAAAGTCTACAGCAGGGGTACTGAATTAAAATTCACGGGGGTATGGTCAGTAAATGTTTCTTCCAGCGGAGGTATGAGTGTCATGTTGGTGCTATGACTCAGATCCTTCACATCACAGTTCCTCCCCCCCCTTCTACATCACAGACATCCCATCACAGACACCCCACCCCCCCCATCATCTACTGCTCCATCACAGACCCCATCCATCACAGAAACCCCCTCATCACAGTGCTCCCTGTAAATTACAGAGTCCTGTCCCTTTCCTAATATCGCAGTACTCCCCCCTTCCTCCCACACTGTTCTACCTTATTCACACGAGCGGGTGCAGAGGGGGGGGGGGGGTACTGCAATGTTATGAAAGGGACAAACCTGCTGCACCTCAAATGTTGTGCCCTTCCTTGAGGATAATAGTGGCAGCGGCAGGCAGGCAAGTCGGTGGCGGGGAGAGGACATTCAGGCAATTATTTGGCGAGGCTGTGGTTCAGAAAGGAGTGTTTCTGGGTCCGAATCCAGACCACAGTCCGCCATTTAGTGATGCCTGGTCTACAGGCTTGGAAAAATCTGTATGTAAAATGGATAGAAAACTGGCTAAAAGATCGTATTCAGAGAGTAGTGGTTAATAATTCATACTCTGAATGGTCTAGGGTTGTCAGTGGTGTACCCCAAGGTTCAGTGTTGGGACCCTTACTTTTTAATATATTTATAAACGATATAGGGTCTGGGATTGCAGATGACACCAAGCTGTGCAGTGGAATAACGTCCTTACAGGATGTATCCAATTTACAAGCCGACCTCAATGCACTGTTTAATTAGACAACTATGTGGCAAATGAGGATTAATGTTGATAAATGTAAGGTTATGCACTTGGGGGCTAAGAATATGCATGCATCATACATACTAGGGGGGTACAACTGGGGGAATCAATGGTGGAGAAGGATCTGGGGGTTCTGGTAGATCACAAGCTTAATATTGGCATGCAATGCCAAGCTGCGGTTTCTAAAGCGAGCAAAATCCTCTCCTGTATTAAAAGATGCCTACCTATATATCAGATCACATTCGCATTCCACCATACCTTTGTGTGAGGCCTGTACTATCCATTGTTAGTTACATCAAAAAGAGTGTTATGCTGCACTTAAAGGACGCCACGTTTTTCCTCTCTGATTTCCCACAGGGCTCTCTCTAGCTTGTCACTGGCTGCCTGCCTTCTAGTCCAGCGGCTTATCAGGACTTCAATAAGGACTATTCATCACAAGGACTATATATATTTATATGGTCTCATTTTATATATATATATATATATATATATATATATATATATATATACACATATATACACACACACACACACATACATACATACACACACATTTTCGTCGTCTCATTTTGACCCTTGGTTTCCATTTTTAGTCCTTTCCACATATACCATTTTCAGCCCTTCTTGGAGTGCACCAAATACCTGTTCTGCCCTGAGTGGCCCCCCGAAACACATTGGCTGTCCTTTACCCTCTTTGTTGTAATCAGCTGAGCAATAAAGACTTTGGACTCCTAAAGATTTTTCATTTGGCACTCTCTGTGACCTATTACACTTAAATTTCTCAACTTGGGTGAATGTCCTTTCCTGGGTAGTCTCTGTTCTTGTGGCGAGCTGCCAAATACAGGCCATTTTGCTAATCCATGAAAATCCACATCCAGCACCTCTCCACCACAATCTTTTATAAACCTGATGACTGTTATAAGGATACCAGCAATAGATGTTCACACATTTACCTCAATCCAGGTGGGCCTATGGGCTTGTTTTGCCCAGCAGTCTTCCCAGTTATTTTCAAAAGACATTCACAAACATTTTTCAACGCACCCTGGGATCTGTAAAACCTATGGCGCTCTCCAATGGCCAGAGATATCATGGTGCATTCTGGTTTGAGTCCATAGTAGAACACAATGATTGGCAAGGAACACTGTCACACACACATTTTAGCGTATCACACTGCTAACTTTTTTCTTTTAACTTTATTTTAAAAGTCACATATTGATATATCCAGGGGCAGACTGACAACTCATGGGGTCCCCGGGCAATAGGGGATCATGGGGCCCCTGTGTCCTTGCCCAAACTCAAACAAGCCTATGAAAAAGGTACCAGGGGCATCTCATGGGGCCCCCTACTGACCCCGGGCCCTCAGGTAGTGCCCAAGTTTCCAAATGGTCAGTCCACCCCTGGATACATCATTCATGTCTTAGAACAGCAGCACAGAACTACAGGGTGATGATATGCGTTTCCATTCAATATGTTATAGAAAAATGCAGACATTGAATTTTAGCACACTGTACCACACATCAGCACTGGGGTATGAACAAGGAACATAGAAAACAATTGTTTTCTATGCGCCCTAGGGTTACCGGTGGTTATCCAGTGCTGGAAAACTCAGGCCCTTAATGTCCTGGGTCATACTAACAATCGGTAGCCAGGAGGCCCGAGTCCTGATTGTTGTAATAGCCTCTGACTGGCTATCATAGTGATCAGTCACTGTACAGCCCACCCCTGTGTTTTGTCTCTTAAATGGAGAAAGATATACATTGTATCCTTTTCTCCTTGCTAGAGAAGAAAAATGGAAACAAAGATCAATGTGTGTAAAAATAATAAAATAAAATAGCTAGATTGGGGTTTGATCTAAGTCAGTGTGAGGGTTAGAGCTAAGGCACTTTCACACTGATCCAACGCAAAAATATTTCCATGCCGTGTATGTGGTGCATTTTTTAAAGAAGATGTAACCCAAGAACTGCACCAAAAATGCATCTCAGGTGCGTTTTTGAAGCGTTTTCCAGTTATTTCAATGGGGAGGTGTCTTTTTGGTGCTTTTTTTAATTGAACAAACATGCTCCAAAAATGCTGCAAGCAGAATTTTTTTACACTGAAATGGAAGCATAAGGCCCCAGTGTGAAAACATACATAGGGTAGCATTTTTCAAAGCTTTTCTTGTGTTTTTTTTAAAACACAAAAGCGTTAAATAAATAATATACACATATACTGGTATCTCTGCAATCATCAGGAGCAGAATTTATTTTCTTCTTTACAAAGGGTTGTTCTTTGGTGGTAATAGCAATAAATATACAGCTAAATTATTATTATTTTTTTTTATTTTGCACCAGTGTTGCTTTGACAATAATAAAAAAAAAATAAATCAGGAGATATTCATTACCACCAAATGAAAGCTGAATTTGCCCGGAAAAAAAAAAAAGCTATAACACACCTGGATACACCAAGTAGTTGAGATGATATGTACAGTTTTACTAACACATGTCAAAGATGCAAAACGGTGTTCAGACATTAAGATTTGTTTCACCCTCCTTCATTAAAGGGTTAAAGAATTCCAGGTAAGTATATTGATACCTCAGTCATGAACACTTCTGTTCACGAACAACTCGGTTCACAAACAGAAGAGCTCACAGAAATTTGTTTTGCTTCACGAACTACGCTTCGGTTGATGAACACGAGTCGCGGTCATCTTCCCTGCTCTGACACGTGGTCGTGACTTCCTGTAGGCTAGATCATGGTCACAGACAGACACTGAAAATGTATATGAAGACACTTACAGTACTGAGAAGCTTTTTGCTGTGCTTTTTAGCATACACTGTACCAGACATCCAGTATGGCTCCAAAGAAAAACGTGCAGAGCAAGCATGGTGGTAGGTAACGAAGGGGACAAGAACGTGCAGAGCGGTAATAAAGGGGACAAGAACATGCAGAGCGGTAACGAAGGGGACCAGAACGTGCAGAGCGGTAACGAAGGGGACCAGAACGTGCAGAGCGGTAACCAAGGGACCAGAAACGGGGACCAAGGGGACCAGAACGTGCAGAGCGGTAACCAAGGGGACCAGAACGTGCAGAGCGGTAACGAAGGGGACCAGAACGTGCAGAGCGGTAACGAAGGGGACCAGAACGTGCAGAGCGGTAACGAAGGGGACCAGAACGTGCAGAGCGGTAACGAAGGGGACCAGAACGTGCAGAGCGGTAACGAAGGGGACCAGAACGTGCAGAGCGGTAACGAAGGGGACCAGAACGTGCAGAGCGGTAACGAAGGGGACCAGAACGTGCAGAGCGGTAACGAAGGGGACCAGAACGTGCAGAGCGGTAACGAAGGGACCAGAACGTGCAGAGCGGTAACGAAGGTGACCAGAACGTGCAGAGCGGTAACGAAGGTGACCAGAACGTGCAGAGCGGTAACGAAGGTGACCAGAGCGGTAATGAACGTGCAGAGCTGTAACGAAGGTGACAAGAACGTGCAGAGCGGTAACAAAGGTGACAAGAACGTGCAGAGCGGTAACGAAGGTGACAAGAACGTGCAGAGCGGTAACGAAGGTGACAAGAACGTGCAGAGCGGTAAGAAGGTGACAAGAACGTGCAGAGCGGTAACGAGAGGCGGTAACGACAAGAACGTGCAGAGCAGTAAATG